AAGCTATTTTGCTTTCAGAGGAACCTTAATGCTGAATTTATGTGTACTATTTATGAGAAGGGTCTTCTGGCTTCCACTTCTAAACTTTTTGGTGAAGGTAATATAGATTGGATCTTGCAAGAAGATAATGATCCAAAGTATCGATCGAAAATCGCAAAAAAATGGAAAGAAGAAAATGGCATTGAGGTACTTTCTTGGTCATCAATGTCTCCAGACCAAAACCCTATAGAAAACGTTTGGAGGTTGATGAAAATTAATATACAAAAAAAAAAAAATTCGATCAATTAGAGGGTTAAAAGGGAAACTTACAAAAGAATGGAACTAATTATCACCTGTACTTGCTGCAAATTTGGTAGCTAGCATAAAAAGGCATACAGCTGCACTTATAGAGTCAAATGGTGACTACACAATGTATTAATTTTAGTTAATTGGTTATGTATTTTTAAATAAAAAAAAATTTTTGAATTTACTTACTTGTAGCCAGAGTTAGAGGCGGTCGGATACTTATGACTGCTACTGTATTAATTAAGATATTAAATTGCGTCTATAGGCCTAATTTATCTTAAATTTTTTATCATCTCTTTTAATAAATTGCTAAAGCTTACTATTATCATAAATTAAGCACTAATTTGTTAAAGATTTAGAAATTATACCTTCTGAAATACCATTAAGTAAAGCTAATATTTTAGCTTTAATTTCTTTTGCATTTCTATGGTTTGCCTTTCTGCTAATTATTATTGAATCTTTAACAGTATAAGTTAGATTAATGTGAGAAATTTTTAGTATATTAGTAGTTATATATTATATTGGATTATAATTTTCTTGAATGTAATTTGTAATAGAGTTTCTGAATTTAACCATGATAAATAGTATTCAGAAATAATTTTAATTTTGCATAAATATATGTCATTTACATTTTTCAAATTTTTAGGCAGATTATAATTTTCATATGATTTAAAATAACTTTCAACACTATTACATAAGCATTGACAAGTATTTCCATTTCCTGAACAGTACATAATCTAATACTAATATTGCTGATCTTTATCAATTCTTAAGTTAATATTAGTGAGTAACTCATTTTCTTTTGAAGTTAGAACTAGAACATTATCAATACAGTTTGTAGATTTCTTTGTTTCTAATGTAGTTGTCTATTCTAAATAATCAGCAGCATTTTGAACACACTTAACAGTTAAAATTTCAGCCTTAACTACTTTATGTGTAACTTGATTGCTTTGTTTCTTTAACTAGCAAATTTTTAAAATAGGTACATTTTCTAAATACCATTCAGCAGCTCGACTAAATGATACATTTACAGAACTATTATCATTATATTTTATTTGTTTTTTATAAGTTTGCATATTAAAAAAATATATTTAATTATGTTACAAGTGTGTTAGATAAAAACTGAAGAAAATAGAAAAATATAGCAAAATAAGTATATATAAGTAATATATCAAGAACTTATACTAAACATAAAGAGAATAAAGAGAAAATGTATAAATAAAGTAAAGAAATAATGTAAGAAAAAATACATAAAATGAAGAGAGAATGTGTAAAAGAAATGATACTAAAATTTATATATATAGTGATAAGATTTACGTGATATTATCGAATTAGATATTTAATCAACATTAATAATCAAAAAAGTCACAAAATTTGTACAATTAACTTCTATAATCAAAAAAGACAATCTCCTTAATCAAAAATGATCCATTTGCAATTTCCCTCCCTTGAACAACTATTAGCACTTGCGAAAGGTAGAGTTCCTCAAAATACAATTGTCAAGAAAGTGACAATAGTTTAAGAAATATTATAAAAATTACACACTTTCAATAAATATATTAATAAATAGTTATTTACAATTTGACATAATAACTAATTGTTCTAGCAAAAATCATCAATTAATAAATGATTAATAAGTAAAATTACTATATAGAGTTAACTACTATTATCAGATATTATCGGTCATTTACTATTTGATGATTTTTGCTATTGGCTCATATCATCTAATCACGGTAAATTTTATAAGCTATGTTTAGTCTGTTATTAAAAAATAAATACTAATATTTTAAATAAAATCTCTTTATTTTTATGTTATTTGTAATCTGTAATTTAAATTAATGAAGAGATTTTTACAATCTGATTACTAATTTGAGAGGAATAAGAATTTATTTCTAATATGTGTCATGAAATTTGGCACCCGAAGTAAATGAATATGATTGGTCACTCTTACATTACTTAATCACGTGCATTTCACAAAAGTCAGCGTTTTTTTGAACTAAACTATATCAAGATTAACTTTTGATTTAAATAAAGTTTTAATCTTTATTTTTAGCAGTTTTCTTTTCAATGTTTAATGAAAAAAATGACCTGAGCTCCTAATTTTTGCTTTTTAAATTTTATTGGTGCATAATTTGCACACCTTTTATAAAAAGGGGTGAGAAAAAAAAAATGTAAAACTTCATCCATAGGACGATGGGATGTCAGTCAAAGTAAAAAAAAACATTTAAAATAAATATCTTCAAAGAATAAGCTGATTATCGTCAAAGATTCTCCATTTGAAGAGGATTTGTTACCTGATTCTGAAATATCTTCTGATGATGAGATTATGTAGGCAGATTTCAAACTTGATAATGAACCTGAAAATACGTCAATAAAGCTGCTTTTCAGTACAAAAAATATCAAACCTAAACGACCACTTTGACACATAAGTAATAGTATCTAAACTCAAAAAAGACGCAAAGCTGCCGTAAAAAAAATGGCTATACAAAATGGTAATACTATTACACAATTTTTTTCTCCTATACAAAATGAACCTGACATACAAACGAATGATGCTTGTTTAAATGAATTGCAAAGTCATGATGATATTGATTCACCATCTACAGAGCCAGAAATAGAAAGTGATTTTGATAATAAAATTGAATTAATAAAGTTAATTCCGTTTATAGAAAAAAAACTTTAAGATGAGATTCTATTACCTGAACAAAAATGGTGATTAGGAGCCGTACTTCAATATTGTCGATGCTGTCAATTAAATATCAAAAAAATGAAAGCCAGCCTTTTTGTTACACAACAATTAGGTAAAAATGAATATTTTGCTTGTCAACTTTGAAAGTAAACTCGTATGTTAGCACAAAATCAAGAAATTCCTATTTCAATGCGTGGGAAATATATTAAAGTCAAAAGTCTTCTTGATGATGAAGACATACGTCATAAAATTGTTAACTATTTGCATATAAATAAATTTGAATTTTATTTATCAGATTTTATTAATTATATATTAGATTATATATTTTCAAAATTAGGCATTGAACGTAAAACTAAAATCACGTATGTAATATTTTTTTTAATTATTGAACTTTTTATTAAGATATATTTTTAATTACTTTTTTATTTAATTAGAAAAAGTATAGCTTGACGTTAGCTTTATAAGATGGGTTTTCAATATAAAAGGTATCATAAAAAAATATATATTGATGGATATGAAAAAGCCGATGTTGTTAAATATCGTCAACAATTTCTTACTAAAATGACAGAGTATGCTTATATTTTATTTATTTATTTATTTTTATTTATAATAAAATAATTAATATATTTTAATAGATATGAAAAGTTAATGCTACACTTTGAAGGAAATGATTTAGAAATTCAAATAAATCCTGTTCTTAATGAAATAGATAAACTTTATATTTTTATTACTCAGATGAAACATTATTTTATGTTAATGATGATCAAAAATCTGGATGGAATCCTAATACTGAACAGCCACTTTAAAAAAAAAGGATAAGGTCGAGCGATTCATATTAGTAATTTTTTATGTAAAACTATCAGAAAACTTAAACTTAATGAAGAACAAATAAATATTGTTGGTAAAAACTTTCTATATGAAGCAAGAACAATAATACATCCTGGAAAAAATCATGATAGTTATTAGAATATTAAACAATTGATTAAGCAGATATGTAATTATATATTATTTTATAAAAAATATAATTTTTTATTAATTAAATTTATATATATAGATTGTTGAAAAAGTAATTCCCATTTTCAAAATAACACATTCCAGAGCTATTACTATATTTGCTTTTGATAATTCTTCTTCACATAGTGCTATTGCATCAGATGCATTTAATGCAAAAGCAATGAATGTAAGTCTTGGTGAAAAACAACCAAAAATGTGCATACAGTTTTTAATGGTCAAGTATAACATATGGTATTTTTAAATGATCATCCAAATCTTAAATTACAAGGAAAACCAAAAGGAATGAAAGCAATTCTTCAAGAAAGAGGATTATGGAATGAAAAATTAATTGGCTTTTGCAAAAATAATACATCTAGAGAAAATTGTTGTATACAACATATTTTAAAACAACAAGATGATTTTCATAATCAATCTTGTTTAATTTGTGAAACAATCAAAAATTTGGGTCATAAAGTTATTTTTTGTCTTAAATTTCATTGTGAATTCAACTTTATTGAGATTTATTGGGGAGATGCAAAATGATATATAAGAAGAAAATGTGATTATACTTGACGAGGTTTGCAAAAGATTATATCAAAAATATTGGATTCAATTTCTTTAAAACAAATTCGAGGTTATGCACAAAAGTCTTTTAGATATATAGATGCTTATAGAAAAGGACTTAATGTAAAGCAAGCAGAATATGCAGTTAAAAAGTATAAAAGACATCGTGTTATTCCTCAATCAATTTTTGAAGAATTATCTTAAATCAATTTAATAAAGTATAAATATCAATCACGTATCACGTGATCCATATATAAATTTATAAATTTGGCACTTTTTAGTCACATGATTTTATATGTTTATATGTAATTAATAAATTT